ACCCCGTATGGTCCCCATAGCCTGTCAGGAGTGATATCTGAACATAGAGTCAGAAATAAACCCTGAGCACTGTTGAGTGTGGCCCCCAAATAAACAAACAAACAAACAAACAAGCATACAAAAAAGAACAACCAATGTTGAAATGAATATGGAAAGAAGACCTTCATGCACTGCTGGTGAAAATGTTGTCTGGTCTAGTTTTTCTGAAAAAAAAAAAATGGACACTCCTCAAAAAAGTAGAAATTGACCTTTCATAAGATTCAACAATTTCATTTCTTGGAATATACCCCCTTGAGCAATAGCACAGCGGTAGGGCATTTGCCTTGCAAGCGGCCAACATGGCCAACCCGAATTCGATTCCTCCGCCCCTCTCGGAGAGCCCGGCAAGCTACCAGGAGTAAATCATGGTACCTCAATTAAAAAAAAAAAGTCTGTCAATAGAATAGGTTGGGGGCGGGGGATCAGGGGAAGTAAACCTGGGGTTATTGGTGGTAGATGTAGTCACTAGTGGTCGGATTAAAGTTGGGAGTAATATATACATGGAACTCTATTCTCAATAACTTTGTAAAAGTTATCTAAATAAAAATAACATCACAAAAAGCAAACAACTTAGTGAACAGACACAGAGAAATTAAACAACTTGCCCAAGGTCACTCCGAAAACAAATGATGAAGCACAGATTCAAACTAGGCAATTTATCTCTAGAATCCACATTTGGCATATTCCTTCCATTATGCTGTGGTTTCTTCTGAAAATTTAATGTTGCTACAGATTCAAGACACAAATCCTGTACATTTTCAGTCATTTCATAGAATTAAGAAGTCAAGTTGGAAAAGATCCCAAGAGAGGTAAAGATCTGGTCATTGTTAATTCTATTGGAGAAGATGCTCTTAGAACAGAATAAAGGTTTTCCCAAGAACACTGGGAAAGCACAGCATGGGTGATATCAAATATGATGATTTTGAGTATGCACAGGTAGATATTTTCACTTTAATAGCTATGTAATTAAAGAAAATTTACTAAATATATTAATATGCATCTATGCTAATAATATAATTATTGTAAACTTCTTATTAGTTTTGAGAAATATATGGACAAATAATATATCAGTAATTTATGTAGACATAATTCAATGTATCGATGTAATTTAATGCAAAAGAAAGTTGTTGAAACTTCATTTATTTACTGATTTACTCATTCAACAAATATTTACTGCATATCTAATATGAGTCAGGAATAGTTCAAAAATAAGCAGCAGAAATTTGTTTCCTTTTATAGCTTTCATTGTCATTGGAGAATGAAAAAGAACATTCAAAGTGCAAGTAAATAATACTGTATATTGGAAGATGATGAAAGTTATGGGAATAGAATATGGTGAGAGGAGGTGGAGGGGTGGAGCAATAGCACAGCAGGTAGGGCATTTGCCTTGTACGTGGCCGACTTGGCTTCGATTCCCAGCATCCCATATGGTCCCCTGAGCAACGCCAGGGGTGATTCCTGAATGCAGAGCCAGGCATGACCCCTGTGCATCGCTGGTGTGAACCAAAAAGAAAAAAAAAGAGATAGAGAGGAGGTGGAGATGAAGAGAAGGAAAAAAAACTTTAAATTAAAAGAATTAAAAATTAATTAAAAGCTATATCATAAATAATGTTGAAACTTCTATTTTACATAAAAATGTATTACTTGAGGGTCTGAGATATAGTACAGCAGGTAAGGTGCATTCCTTGCTTACAGATGACCCAGGTTCAATCCCAGGCACACCACATGGTACCCAGAGCAGCACCAGGAGTGACCCCTGAGTGCAGAGCCAGGAATGAATCCTAATCACTGCTGGGAATGGCCACAAAACTATATGTTATATTGCTTTATATTTTCTTTCTATTGTACTTTCACTTCATCACATTACTCATTCAACAAATATTTACTGCATATCTGCATATTTGCTCGAGCTCGAGCAGGCCCAGTAACGTCTCCATTGGAGACTTTGTCGTTACTGTGTCTGGCATATCGAATACTCTCGGTAGCTTGCCGGGCTCTCCGAGAGGGGCGGAGGAATCGAACTCGGGTCGGCCATGTTGGCCGCTTGTAAGGCGAACGCCCTACCCGCTGTGCTATCGCTCCAGCCCAAGCTACCGAGAGTATTCGATATGCCAGACACAGTAACAACAAAGTCTCCAATGGAGACTTTACTGGGCCCGCTCGAGCAAATCGACGATCAACGGGAGGGCCTTTACTTTACTTTACTATATCTGCATATTTATTTGTGTTTTCCTAAAGCTAGAAATAAATTTCACTTTAAGGTAAATTAAAAAACAAGTAATTAATAATATACATGAAGGAAAATATTTCAAGGAAACTCCTATTAAATAGTGATAATAGCACTGTATGAATATGGCAAAAACTCAGAAAGTGGTGTTTGAATGGATCACTTTGGTTCAAAGAAGAAACATCAAACACCATTCTCTCCATGTGTTCATTCTGCTTGTGTTAGTGAGCGGACAGAAAACTAGGATCATTCACCCCAACCGAGTCATATTTTTGTGCTAAAGATGAAATAAATACTCCCTTTCAAACCAGAATTGAAATGTCTTTGAATTTCTACAGCCTGGAGCTTTCTTCTTTGCTTACTACATGACCTTCTTCATGGAAAAGGATGAGATATAGGGAATTAAAAAAAGCGATATACCACAACAGTTGTTTTACTTACACAGTAACATTTATTGGGAGCTGGGCCTAGTGGAAAGAAGGAACCACTAGCTGAGGAGTAAAGGAAGCAGAATTTCTTTTGATTTTGGTGAGGACCAAAAGACGATGTTGAGAATGTGTTGCAACCCTTTCCTCTCCCATCAAATTACCTTGATGTCAATTTTGTTTAGAATAAGGTCAACAGTCAGGCCAGTGAGATAGTACAGTGAGTAGGACTCTTGCCTTTTGTGTGGCTGACCCAGTCTTAATCTCTGGAACCCCATATACTCCCCTGAGTCCTGCCAGGAGAATGACCAGAACACAAAGCCAGGAGTAAGCCCTGAGTACTACCAGATTTGGTATGACTCAAAGCACCCCCATATGTCCTCAAAAGAATAAGGTCAATAGTGACTCCTTGCAGGAAAGAGTGTATGGCAAATAATAATCAGAAGCGACATCTACTGAAGACTTATTATGTGCTAGACATTGTGGTAATGCTTTACAGATGTCATGTCATTTGATTCCAGAAAAGACGCTGAGGCCCCATGATTATTTTATAGATGAGAAAATAATGGTTCAGAGAAGTATGACTATGTCTCAGATCATGTCTGTAGTAAAACTGGCACCAGAAATTGATTCCAGATCTCTGTTTCTGAGACTTTCACCAATCCCATTTGCACCTGTAAATGATCTGATAGGGCAGAGAGACTCTCCATTCTATACAGAAGTAGTAGATAAATGTAATGAGCAAGTGTTAGTGTAAGGAGAATCAAAGTTTTTATCTTGCTTCTATTATTTATGATCTCTGAGGACTTGGGGGATTTATCCAGTTCTTTTAAGATCATACAAACTTCCTTAACTGGCACATTTTAAGAGAACTTTCTGGGACTGGAGAGATAGTATGGTAGGTAGGATGCTTGCCTTGCACTCGGGCCAACTCAAGTTCAATCTTTGGCATCATGATCCCAAGACCACTGCCTGGAGTAACTTCTGAGTGCAGACATAGGTAACCCATAAGTATCTTACCCCCCCCCCACCCCCCTCCCGCCCTGCCCTCCAAAAAAATTCAAAGAAAAAAATACTTAGAGAACTTTCCATTTCATGTTATTGGGCCTCCCTACTGTCATCTCTCAGCTATTTTCTCATCTAATTCCCACACCCCCTCCCAGTTCCCACGCCCCAGATGTGAAATGGCTGTGCTAGTCCCTTAATCCCTTGGGTGAAAAAGATCGACATGTATGATTACTAGTAGTAGTAATAATAGTAAACATTTATTTTACACTTAATACACACCAAGTACTTTTCGTGCATTATCTGTCTTTACACCTAGTGTATGAGGTAATCCTAATTATCTATAGTTGACAGAACAGAACTCCCCTAGAACCCTCGATAGTTGATAGACTAGAACTCCTCTAGAACCCAACACTGTTAATTTCACTTCCTTTCCCCCTCACCTATCACCGTGACTACCAATAGGATTAGAAATTACAAAAGGCCATTCATGAAAATGATTAGAAATTCCAAAAGGCCATTTGTGAAAATGATTTAGAATTTCCTGCGGGAATTGGATCGCTCCAGGCCACTAGAGAGGTTTGGAACTGTCCACCAACCGGTGCTACTGAGAACTGTGGTTACTCAAGGTTACTTGTTTCCTCCGTTCCAAATTCTTTTACAGGGAAATGCCAGATTCCTTTGGGTTGTCATTGGTGAGGAACCTAAAAAAACAGTGAGGCCAATCAACCCCCACCTCCACCCCCACCCCAGAAGGGCAAGCAGAGAGCGGTGTTGGTTTCAGTAGAACCTATTCCATTGCAAAGTCCAGCCGCTCACTTTGCTTTTTAAACAACCTTGAAGGGCGTTGAGCATTGAGCAAACGCTATGAAGGACAAACACGTTTGGAGTGATCATCATCTCTTTTGATACGGCATCAATTTCTCCTTTTTCTTTCCTAATAACCAATTAAATACATTTGATAGGAAAACCACAGAGACTGTTAAAAAAATGAAAAGCGATTTCGTCCGTTCCGGGCTAGATTTCGATGTCATTGAAATGATTCCGCTCTCGTGCCGATACACCATTGGCCGGTTTTTAGAGACCTGGCGTACAAGGTAGGGGAGCCCAAAAGCACCTTAGCGGGCAGCAGCACAAAACCCTCCCCTTCGAGCCCGGGTGCTCGGTTCATCCCCCCCCTCCCCTCCCCCTTAGTCTGCTCGCTTCCCATTGGCCATTGCCATGACAACCAGCAGCTGCCGGGGCTGGCGGCCTCTACCGCCGCAGGGGTGGGGCGGTGGGGGAGGGGAGGGGGGAGGAGCCAGAGGAGGTGTCTGCTGCAAGTTCCTGGCTGCTTGCAAGCTCACCCCATCCTCCGAGAGGGAGGAGGCCGAGTGGTGATGCTGCTGCTTCTGTCGCCTCTTCTGCTGCTACTCTAGCGGGGCTGGAAGGGTGGTTCCTATTCGCACCGTCGCCGACCGGAGAGGGAGTGGAGGAAAAAAATCCTAGCCGCAGCAGCTGCTGATGTTGGATTTCGAGGCTGCATCCGACTCGGTCGCAAAGAAAATGGATTCAGTTTGCACCTCTCCCTCCTTTCAACAGCTTCGCCGGGTCTCCGCAGGGTGAGTAGCGGGGGACCGAGGAGCGATCTAGCTTTTGCTCGCTAGTCCATGACCTGTGTGTACGTTGGTGGCCTCCCCATGAACAATGACTCCCTCGGAGTCCGAGAGGAAGATGGGGATGGAGAGAGGGGGAAGGTTGCCCGGAAGAGAGACGGCATCCTCTTGTGTTAAAAAAAAAAAAATGGTGTTCTGATTTTATCTGGAGGGGACTAGAATGAAGGCTGAGCCGCTGGGTTTCTTTTCTTTCAAGCTTAGAGGGCGATTTAGGGAGTGGGAAAAAAAGCTAATGAGACATGGGTTTTATTGAAAGGACTCAGTCCATTTGCAGCTAGCACATACAGGGCTGGGCCTCCTCAAAAACACATTTGGTGCTCGTAGCTTCCCGGCCTAATTGCAAGGTGATTTTGCTTATTTCCTTCATGTTTAAGAAAAGGTGGCCCCAGAATTAGGCATTCTCTTTCATCGTCTAATACACTCTTGCTCAGAAACCATTTGCAGTTTCATTTTTAGCACATCGATTTGAATGTGAATGTACATATATATATTCCCTCTAGATATGCATATGATTTACACATGTTCCTTAGCATTTATAGTTCATTTATGGAACATATTTATATGCAGAGTGTGCTTTGCAATCATTTTTATGGGTTATAAATGCCCATGCCTGCTTGGGGGGTAATTGCAAATTTTTTAACTGTGCTTCTGGTTTGTGTTATTATTCATTGGCTTCATTTGAATTAATGTGAGATTTATTCTTGTTATTGTCCCTTAGTTTCATTGTGCCCAATTAGGACAGATGCCTATCATTTTGTGTTTTGTAGCACTAGATGTGAATCTATAGCTTTTCTCTTTTCTTTATATTAATTGGGTTTGTGAGAGAGTGATTTGAGAACGCTGTATTTGTAGTGATGGAAAAGGAAGGTGGATTATGGTATTATTAGGTGTCCAATAAATATATTGCCAAATGCTTATTGTAACAAATCAGTTTTCTTGAGATTCTACCCGAGCCTTTTCATGCTTGTGTCTGTGTCCCAGGGAGTACAGATGAGCTAGAAGGTGAAATGCATTCATTTTATTTAATAGTTCTGCTCTTCGCTGTTCATTCCTTCAGTAACCAGGCACCATTTTATAGTTGGCTAATGTTGTGTATAGGTTTACTTTTTTAGGGAGGGCATGTAGGGAAGTGAGATTGTTTGCAACATCTGGATTTCCCAAGTACAATATCTATTTCTAAATTAGTTGACTTTTACAATGAAATCAAACTTGAAAGGAAACAGAGCTCAGCACGAGAATGTGCAGTCTGTAGTATAAATGGGGTGGGGGGGACTATTGTAGTTTACAAATGCTGACTGGGATCTGCTTGACCTTTATTATGTCAAGGCTTTAAGGCAAGCTCAGGAGACTAAAGATGCCTGAGATGAGTAGGTATACTGCTCCATTACCACCTAGGATAATGGATTCCATTGAATTAAAGCCAGAAAAATCCTTGCACGTAAAAAGTATTAGTGCAGCTTATGGACTAGTTTTATTCGTCAATCTCTTCTCTAACAATGTCCTTGTCAGTACATTTTTTTTTGCAATGCAAGCTAATATAATTTTTGTTTGTATATTACATTTAATTTTATACAGTTTTCCTTCATTTAGAAATGTTATATGTATCTGAATGTAGTATATAGTTTAATTTGTCAGGAACAAGTCTTCTGTTTGGTTTAGACATGAGAAAGCTCTTCAGCAAGTGAATATGCACATGGCAAGTTCTATATTATGTAGATTCCCATTTAGTGAAGTCAGGTCTCTATGTTCCTAACTATAACAATCACATAAAGTAGAGCGGGAAAAAAAGGTACTGGGTTGGTGTGTCCTATCAAAATGTTTATAACACCATGCATCCTGATTATGTATGGTATCTTTGACTTCCAAAAATTAAAACATCGGGTGTATGTACAAGTAAGCTTTAAAAAATTAAGACACATAGGGCTAGATCATATTTGTGCAATGAAGATATGTTAGGGTTTGGTTTTGTTTCCTTTGTGTTGAGTTTCCATTGTGAAGTTGGCACAGTTTGAGTCTATCATTAGCCATCCTGGGCATAGAACCATCAGTAGCATGTTTTAGACCCTGGTGAGAACACAGGTTTAGTTTTTGACCCCACAACTTGCCACAGGGACCTTTGCTGAGATTGAACTTTAAAGTTTAAAGGATTACAAGTAAAATTCTCTGAAAAGAGGCCAAAAATTGTGAAGAAAAATGATATGCTTTGGCGATGAACAAGCTGAGAGATGATACATTTGCCCCAGAAGAAATGAGGGGTTTTAAAAGAAGACTATTTTTGTAACTTTTCTTGGAGCCTAAAATAGGACTTAAACTTAATTCAGAACTATGAAGATGAGAAATATAAAACTTTCTTACTGCAAATTTGAGTAGTACAGAGTTACCAGATGAAATATTATTTTTCTTCCACTAAAATCTCCCAAAGAGGGGCTGGAGCGATAGCACAGCAGGTAGGCCTTTTGCCTTGCATGCGGCCGACCCGGGTTCGATTCCCAGCATCCCATATGATCCCCTGAGCACCACCAGGAGTTATTCCTGAGTGCAGAGCCAGGAGTAACCCCTGTGCATTGCCGGGTGTGACTCAAAAAGCAACAAAACAAAACAAAACAAAAACTCCCAAAGACCCTAGAGATTGTACAGTGGTTAGGGCAGTTATCTTGCAAGTGACTGAGACCAGTTGTATCCCTGGCACTGCATCTGTTGCGCTAGGCACCATCCAAGAATGATCTCTGAGCAGAGCCAGGAATGTCTTTTACCTCATCCGGTGTGGTGTGGACCCCTTAAGAAACAAAAAAAATCTCCCAGAGTTTGAACTAGATATGCATTAATCTGTGATGAACTAAAGTCCTTAAGAATTTCTCTGACTTTTTTTTTTTTTGAGGTAAAATGTCCATTTAAGAGTGTGCTCTAGTTGTTTAACATCAGGTACTTCTAGATCTATACTAGACTCCATTTTGTAATGGGCTTCTAAATTCCAGAAATTGGAGAATTTTTAAAGAAAACTGGATAATCTGCCTGTTTGGATGCGAGAAACTGTTCAAGGCCTTATTTATAAGACTGATTTCTCAATAACTTTTTGAATGTGATGTGTAATAACCAAATTATAGTCATTTCTTTCTGTGCAACTAATTTGAAAAAAAGAAATGGAATTTAATGTGGTCGGCTAGTAAATAATTTAAGTCATCAATTTGGTCAGAAAAAATACTTGAAAGATACATAGAAGTTATTGCTTAAATAAACTGCTTAACAGACAAATTTTGTTTACCCTTTACTTAATATTCTCTTAAGAATGCCATTCTTATTTGTAATATCAGGGTTAAATATTTTGACTAGTAATCAAACTTTAGTAAAATTTGTTTTAATTAGAGTAAAATGTTATATAATCTAATGCCTCATTTTTTTATTAGGCCTTTTTTATTTCTTCATGTGACCTCAGAACATATTTCAGTTTTATGAGTAAACCTCTAGTCTCCAACCAGGATGATTTGGAAGTCAACTGGAGAGTAAAGAATGTTTTCTATGTTGCACATAGAAAGATTAATACTTTGTTTTTTTGTGGTTAGAGCCTTAAGGAAGCCAGATCTGTCATAGAAGTTTCAATGTAAATAACTCAAAAAAATTTTTTAACTGAAATAAGATAGATTTATACTTGGATGTCACTTGAACGGTCAGTTACACTTTGCCTTATATGCATATCCTGACTCTATCAAGTGAAAATATGTTTCCGGGAAGGATAAATTAATCAATTGGTCAACAACTGTTTATAGCACTCATATGATTAGCACAATTTGCATATGGTAGCAACATAGAATTTCCATGGGGAATATGAGATAGACACATGTGAAATAGTTGACAATGAAAACAGTATCATGGCAATTAGTACTATCATTGCTCTTTCTACTAACGTAATATCTTAAAGTCCTTAAAATCATTTCACTCTGTTTATTTTTTATTTTATAGCCTCATTTTTCTGTCAGATGAGTAAAGCTCATACTTGATAATTTAAGTAAGAGGAAATAGGCTCAGAGAGATTAGATTTGTCCAAGTCTGTGTTTCGTAAGTGATAATGTAAATTGTTAATGATTAGGTACCAAGTCTTATGAGCTCAAGTATGACACTTGTGAAATTCATTTTTATATGAATGCTTCAAGTGCTGTCATTTGCTCTTTGGTCATATTGGATTGCCAAGTAGATTGGGTCTATTAGGGTATCAGCAAAATAATGTGCGCAGAAAATTATTTTGGAGAAAATTCTTGATATCTCAGAAAAGCATAGAAGCATTTGACTGACTGAAATACAAGACCTCTGTTTGACTGATGTGCACTTATTTTAAGGATGTGTTATTTTTAATTTTTTGGTTTTGGACCACATCCTGCAGTGCTCAAGACTTAATCCAAGCTCTGTGTTTAGGTATCACTCCTTGCAGGCCTGAGGGGATAATATGGGTTTCTGGGAATCTGTCTGTGCAAGGACAGTGGCTACCCACTCTACTATTTCTCCAGCTCCAACTATTTTTATTTTTAATGACATAAGGCTGAAAATAATTTTTTTCTCTCTAATATTAAGAATCCTTAAGTACTGCAAAAGCCTTGCAGAGATTTATCCAAACTTGGGCTGGAGAGATAGTACAGCAGGTAAGTTGCTTGTTTTGAACACGGCCGAGCAACTTGGAACCGAGTCCATCCCCAGCATCCCATATGGTCCCCTGCACAATGCCAGAAGTAATTCCTGAGTGCAGAGCCAGGAGTAATCTCTGAGTATCACCAGGTGTGGTCCAAAAAATAAAAACAAGAAAAACAAATATATCTATACCTTCTTCTAATGTGTCCTAAGCATCTCTATCTACATGTTCTTAAAGATAAAAATTATATTAAAATTATAAACAAGTATACATCCATTTAGCAACTTTTTGGTGCATTATGCTTTAAATTGTATTGACCAATACAATT